AGAGGAGGGGCCTCTTTTGAGGCCCCCCTCAAATATATATGGGGCCGTCAGTCAACAAGAGCTCCAAAAACCGATGAGGTACGTGCATTCTGAAGATCATAAAGTAGCAGACAAAAACATCTAACAAGTTCCTGATTAAAAAAAATCTGACTGAATACACAGAATCAGTGAAACATTCTCTTGTACCAAGTTTCAAAAACAAAAAAATCAGACAACAACACAAAAATGTAATTAAAGTGTTTACATTTTTTCCTGCTCAGAAGTAGCAAACAGGAGAACAAATGTTGCTTTTGAGCAGTTAACCTAATCATGCACCAATATTGGCATGCATTTGAACCTACATCATCTAAAAACGAAAAAAATCACATCAATTTGCATTTTTGCAGCCGATCCTAAATGAGATACTTTTTATGCATCAGTACAACTTCTAAAGTATATTTTACGTACCAATTTTTTATAGCATTTGTCGCTCTGACCTTTACCTATTATGGTTTCTGTTGCTCGCAGTTTTTCGCATGCAAATAAATACATTAAAAACATTTGCAAATCCGTGATGCATACATGAATAATTCAAGGGGCTAATCAAAAACACATATTCCCTATAAAACTGCTACAGCCTCTTTGAAAGTGTTTACCCTTAATTCCCAGTAAACCTGCTCATACCAAATTAAAAATCTTTATTTTTCCGATCTACACGCCAAAAAACCCAAACCGTAAAAATCTTTGCAGTCATGCACTCTTCTAATATAAAGTCCCCAAATCCCTGGAAAGAACAGATCTGACAGCGCGCAATAATGACTCTCTATAATATTTATCTGTACTACAGCTCTCTAAAACTAACTTCATACTACAAATTTTTCAAGCAAAATCCTGGCAGCTTTAAATGTACATTACAAAATATACACCCATCAGGAAACTTTTTCCCTTTATAGTAACTTTTGATGACATTTATTGAAACGTATAAGTAAAACTTTGGCTAAATTCTTTGCTTAGCCGTTCCAAGTTTCGTCACCAACAGGGAATTACGACACCGGTGTCCTCTGCAAACTTCATTTCAATAAATCAAGTTGCCAAAGCATTAAGTACTTTAAAGATATAACGACTAAAACGGGCGTTGAATATATTTTCTTTTCAACCTCTGTCGAAACTTGAATAAATAGTATACACTTTAATCAGCACTGCGAAAAAAATAATGTTGAGAAACTGGGAAACTCAGTTTGAGGACAGGTAGAAGTTGTTGTTTAAAAAAATACGTAATTTATTCTGCAAAGGAAATAAATGCTCCTAAAAAAGGAACGGTTGATTCCAGAAATTTTATTTGGAAAAGATTCTCATTCACCGGACTTCGGATAAGGTGGTGTTCAAAATTCTGACAAAAAGTTAGTATCCCGCGTAATTTGGCATCGCCAGTGAAGGAATATTTTCAAATTTGCGAATAAGTTGTCTTCAAGAATATTGCAATTTGATACGATAAGGCCAGGTGCAATAAATTTCTTGAAGGAGACTCTCGATCGGACTGATTTGTCGACACAGACAACTAAGTATTGTTCTTAGTAACCCGCCGAAAGTTGGATTGCGGTACCCAAAGACACGGTAACGTTCCAGAAACAAAACTGCCATTAACCGACAGCCAACATCTATCCCAACTATCCCAGGCTTCATATGAAGAAAATTTTGACCAGATCGTATCTTCCCAACTGCTATGTCCGCTAAGCGTTAAGTCAAAGTAAAAAAAATTTCTAAAGACTTCTACAACCATTATTATGAAGACAAATCGTCATCGATAACGAAAACGTTCTACGAACACCTTGACAAATAAAACGACTGCGTTTCCAAGAACCAAGTGAAACTGCTGGAATAAGAAATGTAGTTGGGAAATGGCAGCATTTCTCTTTCAGAGTAATCTTAAAAACATTACTCGCTTTGAATTTATTTTGCATGGTGATGCCGCTAGTACTAAACTCTACTCTAACCAGTTAAACTCTTATTAATGTGATTCTTTGCAACATGGTCAGCCATATGCGAAAATAATCCCAACCAAACAGCACCTTTGCTAGTTAGACACGGAGGAAATATCAAGGAGCTGAAAGAATTACAATTTTTTTTTGCATTAAATATTAAGCATTTCCTGGTTGATTTTTGCTGCGACCAGTGAGTGATTTCCACGCTCCATAGTATCAGTATCTTCTCGCACGTTTGTCGAACGTTCTATTACAAATTTTACAACACAGTACCAGAAAACGAGTACTGATTAAAGTAAGCATGAAGTCTGAGCTCACAACAATGTCCATGGGAACTACAGAAGTAACACGAAACCCGACCTCCCACATGAAAGCGAAAAAGCGATAGACACGAAGGGCTTGACGATGTAAAGAACCTAAGTCAATGTTTCACTCAAATCTTTTGAATAAACTTCACAGAAATTTTCAAGCCAGTCCTGAGTTAGTTACTCAGGCAGTCAACATTTGGAGCCGTTACCAGCACCTCCCCTGCATAATTCCCTCTCTCACGAGTAACTACAAGCATTTGCCAAATTTCAGAATGGCATTTCCACCTAAAATACTCGTATGACCTTTCTTCGTTCGAATAAACAGCCTCTTTACCAACCTTTTCAGCTCCTAAACCCAATTCCAACCTTTCCAACACCCTGCAAATGGTAATACCAGAAGAACTTATCTACAAACTTCACACATCCGTTAAACCACCACTAAGCGACCTACTAGACTTCCAAAACAACAACAAAACTGTATTCCAAGCTTAAGCAAAGGCATAAAATCGTAGAAAATAAAAAAAAACTATACACATCAAGTGAAGTCGCAAACGACGGAAGGTGGAGGGCAAGTTGCAGAACAGCATCCTTCAAAATCTATTAAAAAAGAAACTGCATCAGTAATATGCGGAAGGGATAATAGTTAAAAGTGACCAGAAATAAAATTTTGCTCCTTTATAGCACCTAACATATTAAAATAAAAAAAAAAAACACGAAATATACACATGAAAAGTCACAGCTCCCAAACATACGACTCTTGACAGAAAACAGAAAGACAAAAGTAATACACACAGTCGGAAATCATAACTTCCCCGAACACATAAGCTAATTATGAAACAAAATAAACACTAGGAAACCCCCACACCTTAGTGCACGCTGGTAAGCGACCTAGTCTACTTATTGCTATCCAAAAAAATACGTTGTAAAAATAAAAATGCTTAATCCAAATATTTCTATTTAAGACTGGTATAGGATCAATCCACGCCCACTATATCATTGGAATTCAAAATAATTTGGTAATAGAGTGTAAAACATAACACTTTTGAGACCCCTTCTTACACCTTTCCGCTTAAAATGCATTTATTTTCGCGAAGACTCAGTGACAGTCGAAGCCCAAAACGTAGATGCTCGTTGAAACTAAAACGGCTATCTGCTAAGGAGAAAATATTATTCATAACAACCAATTGAAAAACAACAACAAGAGGTAATAAAAAACAGACTGTAAAAGAAAAGACCCGCAGAAATGTGTTATATAGGAAACGGCGTTAAATACGAGTAAATTAGAATAAAAAGTACAACCAAGCAAAAGATGACCATGAAGTAAGACGATGTCAAAATGGAAGTTTCAATTGCTAGGAGTTCATTTCCATCCTGAATATCACAGAATATTGGGAACAGGAAAAGAATGCACTGCAAAAAGTCAAACTGCGGATAACCATGAAAAGTAGCTAGTAAGTCTTAGGTTTATAAAATTTGCGGCACTAAACACGACTTCACGCTTTGTCGAGATCAAGTCGACAGACTGGACACTTCTTGTTGTAAACAAGCCAGCGGTCAATGCAACCGACATGGAAAACATGATCACACCGCAAAGAGCGCACTTCATCCTCCGTCTCAAAATCCATCAAACAAACCTGAAAATTTAATTTAATGACCTTCAAAAAAATCATAAACTATTGAGACTATTTCCAAAAGCTAAACTCCATGAGCAGATGCTGTACGGCTTGCGACTAAATTCTGTAAAATTATGACCGGTCTCCGTTACCTGCACCAGGCGGGAAAAAACATACCGTGCACCGCTCCTGTTCATTTTCTGGTAAACTGCAGTCTTTGACATACTTATGTTTCGTTGAGTATCTCTGTATCTGGTCCACTGTTGCACCAACTGGTAGTGTCTCAGCCGTTTGAGCAGGTGCAGTACCAACCACAACAGCTGCTTCATGAGGCTGAAGCAGTACCTGAAAGTTTCCAAGCTGAATAATGAGTTATACTTTGTAAAGCTTCAAAACTGTAGTAAACCCTCCCCACTCCCCAAAAAAAGGGAAGAAAAAAAACTATATCCAAAACTATCTAGAAACATTGAGAAAGTGCACAAATGGAAGTGTTGTAATATGTATAAATAACCATAGAAAGTTCCATCAAAGAATGGTGGTAAGAGCGTGGGAACATAACCAACGGATGAGGCGACACTCGCGGCGCAACCACGTCAACACCAACCAAGCTTCCAGGCGCAAATGCTTGTCGCCTAAACCATGCATTTGTAGCTTGCCGTTCACGTTCGACTTGCGCCATTCTTGAAGACAAAAGGACTTCATGAACTGGGTTACTCAACTCGTCCTCACGCCTAAAAAACGTTCGTGAAAAAAAATATATGGCTGAATTCAGATCTAAAAAAATTATATTACACATTACGGAAAAGCGAAACCTTTAACAGGAAAAAAGGGAAAATTCTTCAAAGAGTATGACCCGTTAACTTTCAAAAGACTGATATGCCAAGAATAGCTTTAGCTACTGTATCAAAAACAAATGAATATAAAAAAATATTGAGCAGAATTTTTGCATTCCACTTAATTTCTAAATACAAGAACTAATACGAATAGTTTCATGTAACCAAAAACAAAGAATATGTTGATCAAGAACGAAAAACACTCCATCATTTGGAACAAACCTAGCAGATGCCGTGGGACAAGTACATGTACAAGTGGGATGCTGACGGCAGTGAAGATGGCACAAACAAGGCGCACAATCCGTTGCTGCTCTGTATCTACACTCACAGAAAGTCGCAGAACTACCAGAAGCTGCACCGCCCAGAGAATCATCCTCCCTTGAACTAAAAAAATTACATTACATATTAATAATTGAGGCAAAAAATAAAGAACAGAAATTCCACTACGTTACAACTACAAAGATTGTATGAAAACAAAAATTTTTAAAGCCAAGCAACCTCACTCCCACAGCTGATGGATAACTAGGGGTTGTAGAAGCAGCATCTGATGACGTAACACGTCTAACTTTGGGCACGTGAACTGTCCCAGTTGGATCTGATGGTACTGAAGAGGAGGGTCCAGAACTATGCACTGCTGGACGCTTAGATCGCATAACAGATGACCTCACGATCGGTGGAGAGACCGTTGATGGTAATACAGGAACCTATAATTATTGTTTTTCAAAGAATTGACCTCCTTAAAGCTAAAAATTTTACGCCTCTTTTTTCAGTTTTGAACTTTATAGACTTTAAAATTCACTTGTTGATAAAGACGATAAAAAAAGTCTTACTTGAACCAATGGTAAAGCTGCGGACGTCGGCGGTACGTGAGTGTGCGTTGGAGGTGGCAAACCCACCGATGCTACAGCACCTTAAAAGGCTAAATTACAGCAGATGAACTTAAGAGTTCAAAAACACATTAATAGAGGAGAAGCTTGAAAAGCATGTCAAAGGTTCACTTACAGTAACCCAGTCACCCTACGGCCTCCTTGAAAGGAAGAACCATCTTCCAGATGCTAATAAGTAAAAGAATTTTGAACAAAAAACTAAGCCTAACATCAGAACCGTTACGGTTGACTAAGTTCAAGAAAAAGAAAGATTCATACTGGCAAACAATTTAAAAGACACAGTCAAAAAATAATGAAGAAGGAATTGAATTAATAGCACAGAGCACGAATTTCAAAACCAAGGTAACAAACAAATGACGACAAACCTGTTAATGTAGGAAATGACCGTGGAGCATAAGTAATAGGACGATGATGTAGTGCACACGGTTGAGCATATACACAGTGACAGACCGCTGTGATCGGCGAACCAGCAGTCAAAAATGTACACGGTGAAGGTGAAGGAATTGCCGCTGGATAATAAGCTGTGGTAGGATACACCAGCGGCGCAGCAAAAGAATTGGCCTGTGCAAAGGCTGGTTCAATCGTGCCGGGAATTTGCACCGGCGTGTACGTTGGAGCTGAAGCTGAAGTCGCCGAAGCCGTTGCTGCTGCACCAGCAGCGATTGTCGGACCTGTCACGAAAGAAAGTGGCGGATGTGACTGTATTAGACCATGTCTGTTGACTTCATCGATCCCCATAACATTAACAGCGTGTAGGCGGCCAAAATTAATAGCTTCCACCGGATTCAACATGTACTCCTAAAATGACTACATGGCATTATATAACTGAATTAGCAATCGCAAATCTGTCATAAATTAAAACTTGAGTATGACACTAAAGAGTAAATACTTTATGTTCCGTATAACTACGTATAAGCAACAAATTGTTTTATACATCATTTCCACCGATAGTTTAAAAACCAATCGATCAACCACGAAGTAAAGTACCACTGTTTCTCCTAAGCAATAAATTAAAAAGTATTCGACTACCGTGTATTCTACTTACTAGACTGAAATCACACGGAGTCAAAAACCCTCCAAGAGATAAAAGTATGCAGCACATAAATGCCAAATGTCAAAATCGACATCATCTCCTACTGGTATCAAGCTCATCAAACTCCGTAGAAACACTAAAATTACAGAAGGAGAACCTGCAGGTGAATGCTCGAACAAACCAATATTTGTTACACTAATGAACAGGAGAACCTCAATAAAACTCTTCTTACCATAAACTCCAGATAAACCAACAAAGTTCAAAAAGTAAAAAAAATAGATATAAAAACCTTTCTAAGCAATTAACCAAATCAAAATAAACTATAGCGACAAGCCTCTAAACGTAATAAAGCAACAGCAGTACAAGCTTTTCTTCTTCCAGAAAAAATATATTACCAATTTAACTTATAAAATCACCATGAAATAAAAAAAAAAAACTCACGAACACTAAGAATGCACTGGGAACAGATATGCTAAATGTCGAGAAAAAATATCTCGTGGTAACATGGAAGAAAAGATTTGAAAGGGATAAATAAATAGTGTGTAAGTCCAGGGCTATCGGCTGATCAAACAGTCCTAAAGTTGCCAAGGTATCAATATTTCTCCCAAGAACAGGAATACCGAATAAATATGAGTTTCTGAACAACAAAAATAAACAATAAACCCCTATTAAAGCATTAAAAATAGTAACCATAGATCAAGTACCACGGATTACAATCCGAAAAAAAAAAATGTGGTGAGCAAAACTAGTCCTCACTGACACCGGATTTAAAAATCCGATACAGAAACCTAAGTCCTAGACGATAGACATCTATCACATCTCGTGAACTTCAACAGTGAAACAGAAAACAGTGACCAACAGCCTAGAAATATGTAATGACTCAACGACTAACTCGGACAGCCAAGTAGATATCCTCAACCATCAAAAGGCCAAAATTTAGATAAAATGCCAAATTTCACACCTATGATAACAGCATAATCTTATGTTCCAACATTTCTCACAGTAAGCCATCGACTACTACTGCAATGTACTTATCAGTAAACTAATAAATATCAAACTAAAGTAAACCAAAAAAAGTGAAGCCCTTTTTTAAGTAGAATTTTTAGGGCATCTTCCTTTTTACCTTTCAGCTCTTTCCCTCATTCAAGGCGATTTAGTTACAATCGACCAGTGAAAATCAATTAAAAAAACAGTTGTGCTGGAAAAAATCAAAAAATTTTGTATTCACTTGTCGACAAATATGAAGCAACGTAAAATTTTAAATACAGCAGTACAAATAAATAGATGAGCAAGTGAATGAATAAGCAAAATAAATGAATAAATAAATAATCAAATAAATTTATTTATTTATTCATTTATAAATCAAATGTATGAATCAATTTTTCCTGACATCTTATTCCCAAACAACAAAACTGACATTCAAAAAAGAACAACAGATAAAACAAAACAAAAAAAAAAAAAAAAAAAAA